TGTAGAAACTCAACTGTGGCATGGGAAACGGTGCGGTGGCTGATCACACCTCACTTCAGAGGTGCCCTTGGGTGTGTCCAAGACATGCAGAGTCTGTCGGTGAATTCCAAGCCTGTGTGACCCACTGAGCCCCAGGTGGAGCACGCTGGAGCACGAGCGATGGGGTTTGGCGGGTTGGGTGCCTACCGAGATAGACTCAGGGATCTTCAGAAGGGGGGACGCATGCAACGGGGGAGAGATTTGACCCCTTTCAGCCCCCACTGTCGATGTCCGTGCCGGCGAGGGAGATCGGTGGAGGCTGAATGGGACAGTCTGGCGGCTGCGGTGCCTAAGCAAAGAGGCTCACAAGGGTGGAAATAGGGTGCTGCAACAAAGAGCAGAGAGAGGGGAGCGATTCCAGCCCCCGCCGTCGCGGGTTGCAGGCCGTCCGCACACAAGCGCCCGCAGGGGGGGAGGGGGGTCTCGGTGGGTGTTTCAATGTTGACTGGGAGGTGCGTAAACCCCCTGCCAGATAGTCAGAAGGGCCGAAAAGGAAGTATTTCCCACGACGGACGGTAGGCCAGCCTACCGTCCGTTCCATATGGGTAGTGTGGCGGGCCAAGTGGTGAGTGATATGTTTGGTGCCCGCCTGAATTGGCATCCCTCCAAACAACCTCCAAATGCGCGATTCGTGAGCGCTTGCCTAAGATACATATGAATTCTTCGGCTCTAAACGTTCCATATCCGTTAGCAGGAGTAATCGGGGGAGGAAATGTGTACAGTCACGGACGGCATAAAGTGACGTGGGGCTGCAGTAGTGTTGGATTAGATAAATTGTGGCTGCACTTATGTTTAACACTACCCTAATCACTCACGAAGATAATACCATTGGTCCCACAATTTCCTGGGGCGGTACTAGAGCGCAGCACCAGTCCTATACAGTAATACATCTCTTACATACTGAGCACTAATAATAACAACCTGCGTAGATCGAGCAAAGATGCACTTCAAGAGCGCATTAATCACAACTACCTCCTCAGTGGAAATGCCCCGGCGACGTCGATCGCAACCGCGTCATCTTCGGCCGCGGCGAGTTGGCAGATAGCGTGTCCCGCGCGTCCTTCACGAGATCCGACTCGACGAACGTGCTCGGGTCCAGCGCCTCGGCGGGGTTGTACCGCCTATACGACGAGCTCGAGCGGAGCGACGACGCCGAGGAGACCTTCGTCAGCTTCGGCTTCTCGCTATCCGCAGGGAGAGGCGAGAGGCGCGCCCCGGGCGTCGCACCCGCGTTGCTGTACTGCTGCATGGGCACCATGCGGACGGACGGGGACCGGGGGCTCCAGCCTGCCGAGGAGGGCCCCGGGGTGCCCGCGTGAGGAGCCTGGCGGTAGACAGGTGTCGGCCCTGGGGAGACGGGACTTAGATTCGGGTTCGTGTATCCCTGCTGCTGCGCTGACGGGTTGGAGTAGGCTTGCGGCGTCTGCGAGCGTGAGATCGGTGAATCGAGCGGGCGCATGTAAATGTGCTCGGGCGCTGGCGGTGTCCGATCTGTGCCATATGGCGGGACCTGGTATACGGTCGGCGCAGGCACGGGGATCGGCGTATGGCGTGGACTCGCCCCAGCGAGACGCGAGGGAGCGCGTTGAGGCGAAGGAGCGGCTGATCTGGGACTCGGCGGCACGTATGGTTGATCGTAGGAATCTTGAGCCTGGCCGTAAGTGCTAGACGATATCGGCCGTTGATAGTACGAATTTGAAGGCGCTTGCTGCTGAGCGTACGAATTCGACGGCGGCGGTGGCGCATAAGGATTGGACGGCGGTGGCTGCGCGTACATGCTTTGCGGGGCGAGACGAGGGGACGCCTGAGGCGGAAGCGGAGAGCCCTGTCCTAGTGGGCTGGGGGAGACAGGTACCATGTACGGGCCTTGCGTACGGGAGCGCCTGCCATCCGAAGGCTGCATTTTATTACCACTTTAGCACACAAACGCTTGACAGAGCACGACCTGTCACTTACAGGGGGATCTCTGCTGGCAGGAGGCTGCGCCTCCGACGAGGCCGCTCGACGATGATAAAAGCTCCCGCTAAGGCTGGAGGGCGCGCGTCTCGGAGAAGCAACCGAGTACGACCGCTGGTGCCGGGACCCGGTGCTCGCTGGCGTCTCTGTGCGTCCCGGGCCAGACGCCAGGGGCGCAGGTGTAGTGAGATGCGCAGGGCGATGTCGGGGAGGGCCGCTGTAGCCATATCCTGATCTCGACTGCTGTGGAGAATACGATAGATAATCAGCGTCGGACGCCAAGCAGAGAGAAAGAACTAACAAGAAACCCACCTCGGACGCAGCCCTCCTCATCGACCTCGCGACGTCCGGATCAGAATACCTCAAGCTTTCCGCCATATCCCTCCCGCTCCTCGCCGGACTCCCATACGGCTGCGTCGGCACATACGCCTCATCCATGCCCGCACGACTCTGCCTCCGACTGCGCCCGCCCGACCTCACAGACCCACGCTCGCTCATCCCCTCGTTGATCACGCTGAGCGGCCGCCCGCGCGGCGAACGGAAGGTATTCAGGCCGAGGCTGCCCTGGCCGTGCTTCGCATGCGAGCCCGAGCTGAGCGAGTCGGGGAAGGACGGCTGCGCGTGCAGCTGCGCGGTGAACTCGCGCGTGAGGATGGGGCGCGCGCTCGTACTTGGCGGCGGCGGAGCTTCCTTGGGCGGGACGGGTGGCGGGGCAGGCGAAGGGCTCCGCCGGATTGCTTGCTCGGCGCCTGGTGTGCGCGCGCGAGGGAGCGTCGCGGAGGCGGCGCTAGGCGAGCGCAGCGGCATGGTGTACGGCCCCGGCGAGCGGCTCAGCGCGCGACCGGGTCCGGGGGACGGCGTCCGGTTGAGCTCGTGCGGCGGCGGGAGGTGGATGTAGTTGTCCGGGCCAGAGGGCGGGATCCAGTTGTCCGGCGGTATCTCGACGTCAGGGTGGCGGGGCGAGGGCACGGCGTTGTGGATCGGGATCGGGCGCATGAAGGAGGGCGAGCTGGGGGAGGCGTGTGTGGGGACTGGCTGCGCGGGAGTGGGCATGCGCGCGCTAGGCGTTGTCGTGCGTGGAGGGATCGGTTGGGGCTGGGTAGAGCGCGGGCGGGCGTCGGCATAGTCGCGCTCGCGAATTGGAGGACCTTCGGGCTCCGGCTCGGACGGGGGAGGAAAGTTGCGAAGGGCGTGCGGGAGGCCCTCTGACGACCGCTCGTAGGTGTCGCCTTCTCCCTCCTCCTCGCCTTCTAATCCGTCCTCGCCGAGCTCTTCTTCGATCATCCGATACGCCGCATCCCGCACGTCTGTCCGTCCATCGTCGTACCCAATCGCCCTGCCCTCGCCGTAACCCATGCTCTTGCCCATCTTCAACCCCTCTTCGAACCCGATCCGCCGTCCCTCCTCGCGCGCTATGCGGAGCAGCCGCTCCTGGTTCAGCTGCCTCGCGGTGCGCCGTGCACGAGCTGCCGCCGCTTCCGCATCTGCTCTTGCTGCTTGTTCGTTATTGACGGCTTCCTGAGCGCGCAGGACCTCCTGCTGGAGCGCGTCGCACTGGGCCTTGTACAGCGCCACCTCCTCCTTCGCACGGGCGGCCTCGAGCTCGGCGACAACACGCAGATCGTTGGCTTCGCGCAACTGGGTGCCGAGATCGAGGACGCGCTGCTCGGCGTACGCGGCGCGCTGGGACTCGGCGTCGAGCCTGTCGAGGGCATGGTTGTACGCGCGGCGGAGCTCGCGGACCTCGTACTCGTCCTCCCGCAGAATCTTCGCGAGCTCGCGCGTCGTATAGCTGTTCGGTTCGCGGCGGCGGCTGCGCGATGAGCGGCGGGACCGTCGGTGGCCGGAGCTCGGGAGGGAGCTCTCCTGCGAGTCCGGGGAAAGAAGCGCGGAGCGCGGGGAAGCGTTATCCGGGGGCGGGGCCGCTGCTGCGTGCGCTTGCCAGCGGTCTACGTGTTCGCGGAGGGCGGAGCTGGGAGATGAGTGGTTGATTCTTGCGTGTGGCCCAGGCAGTGGCAGACGCACCCTTCTGAGCCCTCCGAGTACTGCAAATCGTCCATTCGTGCTATCGCTGCACGGCTGTGCACGCGTGTAGAGGTAGATATAGAGCGTGCACGGATATTCGAACGCGAAACGTGTTCATGAAACGAGTGCAGCTGGCGTCAGGACGAGAGACCGTAGATCCGTGCAGGAAGGGCGTCATCGGGGGCATTTGCTTGCCTGCTATGTTTGGCACAATAGCCTCGGAAACTCTCGTCTTTCGAGCTCTGCAGACAAGGCACGCCGTCTGGAGAACGCAGCAGGAAGCGTACGGTCAGTTGGGGGGCAGAGCGTATAATCGCAATAGACAGGCAAGAGGAGCGCTAGCAACGAGGTCACTGAAGCTGTAACTCGGATGTACATTCGTCCCGATCATCCGCTAAGCTCGGTCGACTGACGACGGTGGAACGTTCATGCTCGAGACGACTCTGATATATAGTAACTGTAGCAGCTCATGTATCAAACATTACTATCTACAGTATTCTATCTACCAATCGATATATAGGTCGGGATATCTAGGAAATGACCGACATAGTTTTGTGGACGGACACGAACCGTACTCACCTTACTAGGGACCGCTTCGAAGGACTAGTTGCAAAGGAACTTATGTTTGATACTGATCCTAGACCGTCGACGTCCATGCAGTGCCTGTATACCAACTCTTGTGCACCGGACGTGGACTAAGGTGCCAATGGACCAGTTTAAAAAACACTGAAATACACCTTTGCCCACGATCAGACTCATAAAGCGGCCCAGAGTGAGAATATCCAGCCTATGCTTGCACGACGAAGCGAACTCGACAAAGTCGGACAGTCCGACTCGGACAAGGATGAGATGTCACGGTCACACTATACAGTCGAGTAACGTCACACAAATCTAACTTTCGCACAGGCGCCCGCGGCATCGTTACTAACCCTCCTCCAGCCCCTCGAACCCAACTCAAGCATGAGGTATGTATGGCAAACATTCGTCAGAGGGAACGGCTGCTCATCGTTGCGCACAGCGGAAGCAAGCTCTCAGTGTCAAGCGTGCGGGGCTCCGTCCGCGAGCTCCTCGCCGAGGCCAACGGCGAGAAGAAGCGCAAGTTCGTCGAGACGGTCGAGCTGCAGATCGGCCTGAAGAACTACGACCCCCAGCGCGACAAGCGTTTCTCGGGCACCGTCAAGCTGCCCACCGTCCCCCGCCCGCGCATGTCCATTTGCATTCTCGCCGACGCCGCCGACATCGACCGCGCCAAGCAGATCGACCTCGAGTACATGTCCGTCGAAGATCTGAAGAAGTGCGTAGTCGTCCTTCTGCGGATATGGTGGGGGTGAGAGCACGGGCTGATGCGGGATAACAGGCTCAACAAGAACAAGAAGCTCGTCAAGAAGCTCGCCAAAAAGTACGACGCCTTCCTCGCCTCTGAGGCGCTCATCAAGCAGATCCCCCGTCTTCTCGGGCCCGGTCTCTCCAAGGGTGAGTGTTTATCTCGTCTTAGACATGCTTTGACTAAATGTATCGGACGCAGCCGGCAAGTTCCCAACCCCCGTCTCGCACGGCGAGGACCTCAGCAACAAGCTCACCGAGGTCCGCTCCACCATCAAGTTCCAGCTCAAGAAGGTGCTCTGCTTAGGCGTCGCCGTCGGCCACGTCGAAATGACCGAGGACCAGGTGCTCGGCAATGTCATGCTTAGTACGTTCCTCTCCTTTCTCTACATCGGTGGCTTTGCTCATCGCGATCCTCCTCGCGCAGGCATCAACTTCCTCGTCTCCCTCCTCAAGAAGAACTGGCAGAACATCAAGTCGCTCCACATCAAGTCGACGATGGGCAAGCCCATCCGTCTGTACTAAACCCGACTCGTCGTGCCCATGCCATGTTCTCCCTTCCGCCGCCTTCTCCTCAACTAGACTAAACACGAATCTTGAGACCAGGACGGCGCGGCGTATCGTCGGCGCAGACCCGCAATGCACAACATGAAGCCCCGCACGCTTGGACCAACGGCTTTCTGAGGGGTTGGGAGTCGATTGGGAGCTGATGCGGGTTTGTGAACTGACCGTGCGTTCGTGACGTCTTGTAGTCTTTTCGTGTTTATCTAGTTCCTGTTTCTGGGCTGGTATGGTTGGAGGTATTATGAGTGCTATGCTTTGTATATGCTATGTATGTCGTGGTATATCGGCAGCAATATACGTATACGATACGATTGATTGGACGTCCATGTCGGAACGTGTCCTTGCAGGGTTCACCGCGTACGCGTCTCTGGGGACTTCGTCTGCGATGATCTGCACGTATGTACTACCGATACACTAGGAGATCCGCCCGATTCTTGTCTTATGACCTTGCTTCAGGTTCGACGTGCATAGTTTGCTTCCGTCTTCCAGATCTCGAGAGAGATGTGTTTACCTCATTATACATAACTGATTAAATCTACTGCTCCGAATATGTGCCTATCACTGTCAAAGTTTATCAAGACCAGTGCTGCTGCTGCGCCGGCAAAGCTTAAGGAGTCGAGATGCGAGGTGCCTTTCCCTTCGAATTTGCTGAAGATATTGACCGGACTCCATTCATCTACGTGTACATCGGTAGGTTGGTGGCTCAGCGGCGAGTGAAAGAAAGATAGTGGTCGCATGCGAGAGTACTTTGAGTTACATCTCGTGTTGTTGATGTTGAGTAACGGAGTCCTTACCCTCTCAGAGAGGGTGCGTGATTTCTAATTTCCAATCTGCAGCAACTGCAAGCTGGGTTAGCCTGATCTGCGCACATCTCAAGCCAGGGCCGTAGTTCTGTGATAGCGACGGGAGTCAAGCTCGGCTAGCGAGTATGCATAGCGATACGTGAGTGAAATTCATCCCTCCCTCATCTTCACAGCGGATCGCGATATGCACTGACCCACTCTTGCGCTCGCTTGCATGCGCAGAACACATGCATTATTCGAAGACTCGCACACTTGGCTAGGTGAACCTACAGCGAGAATCGGTCCCGTGCCACATTTATGCGGCACATGCGTCGAGGATCTCCCGAGGAATTGACCGATCATTGTGGCGCAGTGGCAGGCTTGGTTCGCGGGAAGGACCAGGTGAGTGCGCTCGATGAGGTTAGCCTGAGCACTGCCAGCCTCTCGGTTAACAACACTGAGCCGCTCTTCAGCACCAAAGCTAAGCGCTGCTTACCGGAGACTAGTGCGTCGAGTACTCGGTCAATTATATTGAAGTAAAGATTTAAGCTACTGGGGGGACAGCTAAGCCACGCGTCCGTCGGTGCCTTGCGTCCCCGCGACCGTGACGTCGGCCGCTGATGGGAGACAAGGTATGTTTGACGCCGGGTAATGAGCAGAAAGTGAAGGCCGCCCGACGATTGTCACAGGTGCGTCGGTATGCAGCGTCGTCCTCTGAGTGGCTGTGTATCAGTGAACAGGGCGTGCCACACTTCCGTTTCGGCCGTGCTTATCCACTACGAACACGGTCATAGGCACATAGGCACCTTTACCAGTGGCGTCGATCCATCCTTCCACTTTGCGACTGGCGCGATCCTCTCTGATTAGCGGTGAAGGACCGCTCTGGCTCGGGCCGGCTGGGGAACGGGAAGATGTTTGAGGTGATTGTGCGTTATATTTTACATACCAAGCTGCCCGTGGCAGAACCACGTACCAGCGCGCTTGGAAGGCGATGAACACAAACCACGGACGATCCCCGCCTGATCGAGAGACAGGTGTACCGATTGTTCATCCCCTTTTCAGACCGCTAACGGTCCGACACGTTCTAGGTAACCAAGACATAAGAAACTGGACACTTTGAATGGTGAGTGACTCTGAACCTTCCAGGCCCGCCGAACCGAAGTACAAGCGGCGTCAAGTTTACCCGCCGCCGTTCAAACGCAGCCGCCTTGACGCTGCTTTCGCTATTACGTGGTATTTGATCCCCGCGTTATATTTTGGTTTTCTTCGCGAGCGCGAGCGTCTCCGGTGTCACAGATGTGGCCTCTGATCTGCGATTCACGCTGAATCGTTGGTGCGAGTTCTGTCAGTGCAGGTGACCTTAGTACTCGGAGAGTGGAAACACCCTAGGTCTCACTCAGGATACACTCAGACGCGGTGTCCCCCGTACAGTTCTGGATGAGGCTGCAGGTCTGGCATCTAGCTTCAAGTGCACCCACATCGCAGCGGTACGCAACGCCTGAAGGTAGGCATTTTGAACGCTTTCACATGGACGAAAATGCGTGCATAATCTGGCGGTGCATTGGTGGGGACTCTATCCACGCGCTGGACCCACTTCCTTTCCCGGCGAACCTGCGGCTTTGTTTCAATGTTTTCACATACCTGGCGGGGAGAATGATCTTCGAAGGTGAGATTTGAACGGAGGTGGTAGGAGGAACACACTGCTGAACAGTGAAAGCCATGGTACTTCAGGCTCTCGTTAATTCTGCCGGCCCGCGTGGCACTCCAACCGGGGAATTGCGGCCATGACTTATAAACATAGGACAATGCTCGGGAAACATGTTCTGGTGAAGCGATGGTAATATCTGTTATCCCAGATATTCGGGGACCCATCGTTGCAGCGTTGTTAGTTACAGCATCCGTCATGCCCCTACGGGAGCAGGCCAGGGCTTTTGATGGACAGGCCGATATACTGATGGTTTTTTCAGCGTATCCCCGAAGTTCAAGGAATCCTTCTAACTGGTGCGCGGATCCTATTTTCGCTTCACAGCTATCTGACCGCTCCAAGTAATACACCGTCGTAATCTTCATCCAGAAAGGGTAGTCATCCTTTCTGCCCTAGGTACGTACCTGCCGGATATTGACATCTCCTATTGGAATATTCTTGAAGAGACTCCAGGATAAATTTACGAGTAGGTGATTCAACAGAATCCCGGACTTCCTCATTGCCAGTATGCGACGAGAATGAGTTACGAGTATTCATGGACAAACACTAACCTCTGTAGATTCTGATGTCTTTTTTTCGGTACAGTGCTCCACCGGGTGTCACCGTGGATCTATCAGATTGCTTGGCCTTGCACAGCTACTATGTAGATCACGACCGTGATCCCCGGGGCACCCTCGCGAAGATTCAGATGGAAGGGAGGACGCGTAGAATCACTGTTTAATCCAATGGGGATTCCATCTCTGCGAGTCCGAGAGCATAACAGTACACCGACTAGTATGTCCGCAGGTATGCATGGAGATCCCTGGGCTGAAGTACATCGCTTTCCAGAGGCCCGTTCTGTGGAAACGCTATCGAAGCGGCACGTGACGCTTCTCGTGCCTTGTCTTAACAGGGTACCCTTCGCGGTCGCAATTATCTCTGACCGCTATTCTCATGGCCCATGTTAGGTTGCTTGTTAACGTTAGACATAAGCACGGGAAACGCCACAATCGACGGGCTTTCGTGTACACCTGGAATGTGACTAATCTTCCCCAAGAACAAGGGCCGAGCCCAATATGGACGCGCTTGTGGACTAATCCTTCGTCCTATGTTTCCGCTGGCTCAGCCCTTCGTCGCGCAAGTTGTCTAGATTATAGGCCGGTGTACCGCACCCATTGCAATATTAAGTGAGCTGATTTTCAATCACGACTCAACGCTCATAGCCACCAACTATCATTCAGAGACAATGATCAGCAAACTCACCGTGTCCTCTCAGCCAATATCTTGCCGAATGCGCAGACCTACGGCACCAGTGCGGTCATTGTCTCCTCACGTGGGACAAGAATAGATGGGTGCGGATAGGCCAGAATGCCGTTTCCTCATCAGCGGTTGCCGCGCTGCTTTTCGCGCTCTACTGTCAGTCGCCGTGTACGTTCCGACGAGAGTTTGACCACGTTGTCTCGTGTAATGACCCGACCTTTCAGGATAACCTTATCATAGTATGAATCAAGAAGCACGCTATATATACCCCGCGCTCGTTTGGAGCAGGCATATCCACGATATGTCAGCCCGGGCAGATCGTGTTTGATGACAGGTACTTAGCGCCCTGTTCTTCTTTCTGATCATTGGTCTTTTTACTGCTATCGGTCACTGCCCTACCTTTCTGCGCGCAATAGTACTCGTAGAGCCAGTTACGCGGCGGCGAAGTGTTTATGGCCTCTTAGTGATGCCGTTGCCATTTCATGATCGTTGGGGCACAGCTTATCGTACGTGAAGCTCCGAGCGTTAATACATTTCGACGATGGAAACAAAGATGAAGAACCAGCAAGTTTCGCACAAGTCCACTTGGCCGGAGGAAGACGAAGAGACTTGGGCTTATTCGGTCACGATATGAACGCCGCTGCAGTCAGACTCCATCTCGTAGTAAGTAGACGGCGAATATCGAGTGCAAAGCTACCGAGTGTCCTGGACTCATCGATTTTATTCACTTTGCCAAATGCTGAAGGTATCTGTGCAAGATTGACGTGAGATTTACATACCAGGCTAGCGTCTCCTGATCATGACTGTTCCGTGGTGTTCAGCTTCGCGGAGCCAGAAGCTGAAAACACACTATGTGTACGTGTGTATGTCCAGGCCATAACGGATTCCGTTTATCTAACCGATGTATAGAGCGACCTCACAGGTGACCACACCAGGCGACACGTGTGGAACGCGATGCGGTGCTCGGGACTCGAACCGACTGCCTCAGAGGAATCGTTTGCATGGCGTGATTTGCTGCCATTGGCTCACCTCGGTACGTAAAATGAAGCCAGGAGATATGGAGCTCACAGGTACATACATTGTTGCGCACTCGGGTTGTGCTTGGACTGCAGTGACGGCTCGGGCACTCGATCGATATAGTCACGAGTGGGACGGAATTGGGGAACACAGTTGAAATAGGATGTCGCGGCGGCGAGGGCGCCCGGTAGCCGGGAAGACGGCGTTGCACACGAAGCGGGAGCAACGTTGCTGAAAACGGTGGCGATGGGATAGAGGAGGAACAGTCGGCGCCAATGCGGTGCCGCGAGTTAAAGGCATTATCGAGAGACTGGCTTCGATCTCGGACGTACCGGGAAGAGCGCTCTTAATTCTGGGCGAGGTTCTGTGGAGGATTGCTGAAGTACCCCGGTTTGCAACGGGAATCTCGATTCGAGGGTACTTGATGCACGCGAAGTTTGGAATCCGAGCGGACAAGATGTTGTAGTGACGTGTAAGACCCAGACTCGACGTGCCTGGGGCGGTAAGTTTCACAACAGATGGCCATTAATGTGGCTACGGCCGCGTTCCGCATCCGCGTGGCCTTGGAACGAAAGAGAAAAAAATGAAAACTCACCAAACAAACGTTCGCGTCTCAAAGAATGGAATAAGGGGCCCCATCAGGAGAAGTGTCAACTGAAAGTCGATGCCTGATATGGCCGTCGTTCGCGGGCGGGGCTTCGGAGGCACTTGATGGCACGGCCTATCGGAACCAAAAACCAGAGCCTGTGACCATCAAAAGTAATTATGGCTTCGCGAGCCGACGCTCTGGATGCTGCACAACCGAAGCCTATACCTAACCGAAATAATTATACAAGCCTCTTTATCTACCTCCCGCCACTCTAGTACGCGCGCCTACCTCCTCCATCGTCGGCCCTCCACGCGGATTCGGAATGCCTCGCGAATGCTCGTCAAGACACGATACGGCGCCGCTACGCTATGGCAATGATGCTTACTTAGATGACAATGCTGACTCGTATCCTCGATCCCAGTCCGATACCAGCTCTTCCCCGTCATCGCCCGTCCAGCCCTTGAATCCGAAGAAGAAACATTACTGCACAGTATGTGGTCGTTCGTTTACCACCAGCGGGCACCTGGCTCGACATAGTCGTGTTCACACCGGCGAACGTAACCACATATGTCCATTTCCAGGCTGCCAGACGCGATGCTCCAGGCAGGACAACCTGCAGCAGCAGTGAGTGTATTTCATTAATTTCCAGGTGGCAATTCGACAGTCTGGCTGCCACCAAGTCGGCTACTGTTCGCCCATCAGTGTGCGTAGTATATGAACCTGTTGCTGAACAGCCACATCGTCCGACTTCTGTCTTGCTCCGTGTTCTCCACAGATCGCGTCTAACTGACGTGCCCCAGTTACAGGATTCATTTATCTCCAGGATCACGTAGAGGGTCATCCGCAAGTGCTAGAGCGGCGTTGAAGAAAATGGCCAATCAGACTACGGATACTTCTTCGGATGAACGCCAGCCGAAATCACGCTCAACCTTTCGCCGCACTAACCCATTTCCTGCGCTCTCTGCACCGCCAGCATCTCTACCACCTTCTACGTTTGGCGCTGAAATTTACGATGGTTCGCGTCCGCCGTCTGTTAGCCCCCCTCCCGACTCGCCACCTCCACTCGTGCAGGCCAGGCCATCGCCCCATATCCTCACTTCATCCCATAGCACCTCCAGTTGCTCTTCGGTATCTCCGTCACCTCAGTCTGACCCCGCGTCCCAGAACGTCCACCCAGTTATTTTAGATGCCTCTCCCGTTCTGATTCATAATCCGCAAGATCCATCGTCTCGCTTATACTCTGTCGCGAAGAGCGGGGTAATTTCCTACGAGGAGCAGGCAAAAGTTGCGCCTGCCCCGGAGGCGGGTTATGCACAGCCGTCCCGGTAAGTCAGCATAATCCCGAATGCCCAAAGCTGTCCCTGATCATCATAGCTATCAATATTCTACGTCGAACGCGTACGCTAGCGCGTCTTCCCCGGTATCTCCCGTACACCAAGGGGACGCCCATCCGTCGTCCCAAGGCCAGTCACTCGCATCACATCACGTCTCTCCTGTGGACCCATCTCCCCATGTCTCGACGTATCACGGACGGACTTACGAATCTTATCAAAACGTCCACCCGTCACAGCCTCAGATACCACCAAGTGACCACCAGCATCAACGGTCGCCTTCTGATGTCTATGCGCAGTACCCGTCCCAGAACACCTCTCGACACGCGATCTCGCATATCTCCCAGCCACGACCACAGTTACTCCCATACGGACAGCACTCGCATTCCGGGTACCCTCATTCGTCATCTCCAACATCAGTCCCACACTCGATATCCCCGCTCGAGTCGGAGCGAGCTACGCCGGTGCATCAGCAAGTACGCCCGGGCGAACACATTAGTACCCACACGCTCAGCAGGCAGCCTACTTTAGAAAGTGCATCTTTCTCCGCCAACGAAGGGTCTTTCGCGAGCGTCTACAATGCGCAGGGGGAGTCTAACGACCCCGCTGTCTTGCCTAACTCGGGTTACTCGTACACTTATCGGCGGGACGTGGATCACCACGTTCCCTATTCTCAGCCCAGGAGTCAGTACCTACTGCCTCAGTCTCAACCAGCGACGGTTCCTCCAAGTCGGTACCCTTCCCCTCGTCGCGGGCTACCACCCATGGACGTTACCCGGCCTGTGGACGGTGTGGCGCAGGTGTATACTCAGCTTCCGCCTCATCAGTCGCCGCACGTACAGCACGTCGTCGAGCCTGAGGTACACGGCTATGCCCAGTACCAGCAGACGTACGACTCCTCCCAGTCGACGAGCTACCTGCATCAGCCGCAGCCGGTTATGCCTGGGACGCACTATCAGACGGTTGTCGCCCCTGTGAATGGGCACGATTGGCGCGAGCCCGGTGCGTACGATGCGCGAGGGAGGCATCTAGTGGTATAGCGGTGTTCGGGATAAGGTATGCCGTGGGCATTTTTTGTATGGCTGATTGGTTCGCCACTTTGTTTCCCTGGGGATGTTCGTAGTGCATTTCCCTTCCTCCGTCTTACCCTGTGACTGTTGTTCTCCTACCATAGACATACTGACTCTATTACGGACGATGCGCCGCCAGCTATCGGGTACATTGTTATTCTGTTTTCCAGTTGCTCTCCGGTCTCGATCACGATTCATTTGTCTACCACTGCTGCATTTGTACTATAGGCGCATACCATACAGACACAAAGAAATAAAGGTTGTACATCATAGAAGGATCGGATGAGCATCTGCTTCGGATGCTGACAGTGTAATGAGATTGATGCGCCCGACTACAAAATTGGTATTCAAGTGTCTATAGTGGCTGCCCGTATCGGACTTCTGCCACTTTACCTCGGACTTGTATCCCAACCGTAAGGCAGCGGCCTCTTCCTCTCCACGTCTGCTGCTGTTATACCTCCTGATACTTGAAACGCTCGTCGGCGTGTACGACGGCGCAAGGTGATGCCGAGTGACCTCGATAGGTCAGTTCCATTCCACCGCCTATTGCGAACGCTTCAGTTCCTCACGTCCTATCTCCGCACTCTCTGTCTGCGCTGCAAAACGGTAGACAGATCGAGCAACTGGCGCGCTGTGAACCGATCTCGGAGGAGCAAGTCAAAATCTTATGTCTGAAAGCTCGTGAGATTCTTGTGGAGGAGGGCAATGTGCAGGCGATAGACTCTCCGGTTACGGTGCGCACTCTCGCTGCACCACTGCCACACACACACCGACCGACAAGGTTTAGATATGCGGCGACATACATGGGCAGTTCTTTGACTTGATGGAGCTGTTCAAGGTGGGAGGGTCATGTCCACAGACTAACTATCTGTTTATGGGTGCGGCAGTTAGTGATTCGAAGCTTGACACAAGCACTGACTACGTGTAGGCGACTTTGTCGATCGTGGATTCTACAGCGTAGAAACGTTTCTGCTATTGCTGGCTCTAAAAGTCCGATACCCCGAGCGCATCACGCTGATTCGCGGAAACCATGAGTCGCGTCAGATCACCCAGGTATACGGCTTCTACGACGAATGCCAGCGCAAGTACGGAAGTAGCAACGTATGGAGATGGTGTTGCGAGGTCTTTGATTACCTCGCGTTAGGAGCCATCGTAGATGGCCGAGTATTCTGCGTGCATGGCGGACTGAGTCCAAATTTGCACACGATTGACCAGGTACGCTGAGTTGCCTCTCTTTTCTAGGTGTTCCGACTGAATAGCGCGGCATTGTGAAGATCCGAGCCATCGACAGAAAACAGGAGGTTCCACACGATGGGCCTATGTGTGACCTGTTATGGTCCGACCCGGACGGTAAGCAGCCATTCATTTCTGCCATCAGCGCTACGCCGAGTTGCCTCAACGTGCGTGGACAGACATCCAAGGATGGGGCGTATCGCCCCGCGGCGCCGGATATCTCTTCGGCCCAGATACGACGAAAACGTTTGCGCACAATAACGCTATCGACCTTATCGCGCGCGCACATCAGCTCGCGATGGAGGGATACAAGCTCATGTTCGATAGAACAATCGTGACCGTTTGGAGCGCGCCCAACTACTGCTACCGGTATGCCCGGTCTCGCGCTTCCGCGCTGAAGTGTCACTGAGTAGCCTTTATGTTGCTCTGTGTCAGGTGCGGCAACGTCGCTTCCATTCTCGAACTGGACGAACATCTTGCGCAAGAGTACAAAGTTTTCGGGGCCGCCCCGTCGGTGCGTATTGTCGCCACGTCCGAGCGTCCGCGGGGACCTTACAGACTATTTGCAGGATGTCCGGTCTATACCCACAAAACGCCCCCCTGCCGATTATTTCTTGTAGCTCCAGCGACCTCCCCGTTTTACGAATATAACCCACAACTGTAATGCCCCGGTGCTTGTAGCCTTAGTAATTCCTTAACGAACTCCCCTTCCAATCGCGTGCCTTGATCGTAACGAGGCGCCTCAGCCTTCTCACAAAGTCCAAGTGACATGTCCTTCATCACCGGACCAAGAGCAAGAAGCACGATCCAAGGATAGCGAACTGCCATAGTATTCGAGAAACAACTGATGATGAGTACACGTCTAACAATAGATGTCGCTACAGCATTGGATCATGAATCACGATATGTGGGGAATATGGGGGGGAGAAAGTGGAAATGGTAATGCTGATACAGTTGAGACGGAAACGCGGTGCACAAATACAGTATTGCCTTGCGCGCATATGAATTGGTTCACGTCTTCGTCTTCCCCGTCGTCTTGCTGATGAGCTTGGCCTTCTCGAGCGCGGCCTCACCTGCAATGCATCACGGAGGCAAAAAGTCAGTTCCAACGATCCCCACGCCGAATCAGACAGAGAGCGATGACGTAGCGCTACTGACTTTGCTTCATGAGCGACCGCTTGTAGTCGACGATCGAGATGTCTTCCTTGGTCAAGTTCCTGATCGTGCGGTCCTTGACTTCCCACAGCTCCTCAGCGACCTGGGAGATGAGCCCTAGAAACAGGAAGAACGCGGAAGACCAGAGTCAGACTGTGCGGCAGAAGCACGGATGGGTACTCACGGAAGTCATGAGACACGATGACAACGCCGCCCTCGAATTCCTTGATCGCACGCGCGAGTGCGTCGATGGACGACATGTCCAAGTGGTTAGTCGGCTCGTCTAATAGGCACACATAATCAGCACTTAAGGGACATCCGTCTTACCGCTCGCAAACGCACCGAGCAACAAGATATGCGGGTGCTCCATCGCGAGCTGCGCAAACACGACGCGGTTCCTCAACCCGTCCGACAAGTGCGAAATCGGCGACGTCTGGTGAGCGCCCGACAGGCCAAAGCGGCCGAGCTGCTGGCGCCACGCCTGCACGTCCTTCTCGGGGTACTTCTCGTGGAACAACGCTTGGAAGTACTCGATAGGCGACTTGTCGTACGGGAGCTGGTCGGCCGAGTGCTGCGAGTACTTGGCGAGCTTCAGCGACGAGTGGCGCGAGACCGTGCCCTCGCACGGCTGGAGGACGCCCATGACGAGGTGGAGGAGGGTCGATTTCCCAGCGCCGTTCGCGCCGAGGATGGCGACGCGCGAGTCCATGCTACAGAGTAGTCAAAACGAAGACCCTCACGACACCATGAACGCGACACGTACTCGATACCGAAAGACAGGTGCTCGTACAGATAGTCCTCCTTCTTGCCCGAGTACGAGAAGGCAACGTCGGAGAAGGCGATGATGGGCGGTGGGAGCTTGCGCACGTCTTCAAACTGGAAGTTGAGCGGTCGCGGCTGCTCGATCTTCTCGATGAGGCCGGCGGCCTCCATCTTGTCGATGATCTTCTGCTTCGACTTGGCCTGCTTGACGAGGTTCGCATACGTACCCGCGGAGGCGATGAACCTTGAAACGGTCAGAATAGAAGCAATCAGCAAGAGCGCCGGGGACTTACTTCTTGATGTGGGCGATTTCCTCCTGCTGCTTGTGGTACGCTTTCATCTGGTTGACTTCGTTCTCGGCCTTCGTACGGACGTAGGTCGAGTAGTTACCGCCATAGTACACGAGCTTCTTCTTGATCGTCAGGTCCATGATATTCGTGCACACACTGTCCATGAAATCCTGCGAATGGGACGTGATGACAAGGATATGGTTGTACGTCGAGAGGTACGCCTCGAGCCAGACGACCGCACCGAGATCGAGATGGTTCGTCGGCTCGTCGAGCAGGAGCAGATGCGGCTTCACGAACAGCGCGCGCGCAAGCGCAACACGCATCCGCCACCCACCACTCATATCCTTGGTCGGCTTCTTCATCATCTCCGGGCTGAACCCCAGCCCGTGGAGGATACTCCCTGCCTTGGCCTCGAATGTGCTCGGGTCCATCTCCTCGAGCTCCTCGTAGAGGTGCTCGAGGCCGACCTCGTCGATGTCGTCGGCGGTGGACATCTCCTCGATGCGCGCCTCGAGCTTGGCGACCTTCTGCTTTGCGGAGGAGACGATGAAGTCGACGGCGTTGACGTCCGAGGGCTCGGCCTCGCCGCGGACGAGGTAGATGTCGATGTGCTCGGGGAGGGGGATGTCTTGCTCGGCGATGGATTGGAGGAAAGTGGACTAGGCGGGAGTTGTAGGTTCGATCGTGTGACGGATAGGAATGAGACGCACCTTGCCAGAGCCGTTCTCGCCCAGCAGACCGTACCGCTGGCCGTAGTTGAGCGAGATCTCCGCGCCCTCGATGAGCAGCCGACCATGGAACGAAAGAGTATACTGATCAATTTTGATATCACGGCCCTTCGGGTCAGAGACGAGCACACCAGACGCACTCCTGAGCGGAATGTCAGATCGATTCACAGTAAACAGAAAGAGATACACTCACCGGTCGGTCGCGATCTTCAGCTTCGCCATCGACGTCAGATCCTCCTGGCTCGTCGACGCCGACAGACTCGTCAGCGGCGTGCTCGCCGTGCTCCCGTTCACCGATCCGTTCACGCTCGTCGCCGTCGTAGAGTCATCGCCGTTTTTCACCTTTGCAGCCTGCTTTGCGGCCTTTTCGGCCAAGCGCTTTTGTTTCGACGCAGAGGGAGCCATCCTGAAAGTACTGTAGAGTAAAGAAAGTCGAAATCTAGGACAAGAACAGCAGAAAGCGGGAGGCAGCACAGATGCCTCGAGGAGGAGAAGATATAGATGAGTTTCGCGCGCTGATCGATATTCCTGTGGCTCAAAATTTATGATTACGTCATCGATTTATCCTGCCCTTGCGACCAAAATCTAACTTGTTCTTCACGCTGTCGCTGCTGGACGCGGAGGGATTTCCTTGCATTGCGGACAGGACTTTTACAAACTCAAAACATATATTCGACTGGGATATAACCGTCTGGGGTTTGTCGCGCGATTTCCGGCTGCTTGGAATCAGACAGCAGTCACAGCACGAATGACTGTCTTTCATGGCGGCCGTTGCACGGTGGATTGCTTGATGTCGACGCTACAATGGTAACAGTATTATGCCTCAGAATCTGCTGGGGTGGCCTGGTGCGCAGCGCATCATGCTATCGCATCAGATTCAGAAGCATTCAAGCAGGTACCAATGAGAACGTAGGGCTCATCACTGGGAAGGCAGCGAAGGCGACACAGATCTATCTCGATAGTGCGCAATTCTATGTGTCTTCTGAGGCTATCAAATCTCGCTTCTTCTTTTCTTTATCTGAGACTGGTATCTGTAAGTACTGGCTGTACGACAACGCCGGTAATAAGCTGAGGTAGCTGTGAGTGATTTTGGACATACACAAGTGATCATTGATACAATCGTGGTGGAGCTAAACCCAGGGTCAGCTCCATAGTTTTGTTATCCCACCTGTCCAAATGGATGGGTAATGACATGAAATGCAGGCGCGTTCCGAGGACCGCATGGCGATAGATCATGAAAACCGAAACTATATGATGCAACTGCACACCACCTGACCCACGTACATCCTACATGGGCGGGCATGGCTCACGGAAAGGATGCGCACGTCCTTGGTGTCGCAGTGCATGATTATCTGAACAGTGGAGGAAATCTGCATTCACTCCAACCCCAGCACCTCCCTGACCCCGTCCCTGGATAAGCCGCTCCCCGCAAAATCATCAAACGCTCCGTCCCCCATAACCGGTATAATGTGCCTCTTGATGAACTCTGCACCCTCGACCGCACAAACCTCCGGATCCTTGAACGCGCACTCTGACTCCGCCACCGCCCATCCTTCGTACCCATACTTCGCCAGTCTCGTGAATATACCCTTGAAGTCGATCTGGCCGTCCCCCAGCGCCCTCGTGCGCCCCGCCCGGTCTTGCCAGTCGGTATACCCGCCATACACCCCCTGCCGTCCATCCGGCACGAACTCCGCGTCCTTGACATGGAACGCCTTGATCCTTTCATGGTAGATATCGATAAACGCGAGGTAATCCAGCTGCTGCAGCACGAAATGCGACGGGTCGTACAAAATACACGCGCGCCGGTGCCCCCCAACATGCTCCAAGAACCGCTCGAACGACACCCCGTCGTGCAGGTCCTCGCTGGGGTGTATCTCAAAACACACGTCCACCCCCGCCTCGTCGAACGCGTCCAGGATCGGCCGCCAGCGCGCCGCGAGCTCCGCAAACGCGGTATCGATCAAGCCCGCTGGGCGCTGCGGCCACGGGTAGAAGTACGGCCACGCCAGGCTGCCCGAGAACGTTGCGTGCGCCTTCAAGCCCAGCCTCTTCGCCGCCTTCGCGCACGCAAACATCACACCCGTCGCCCACTCCTCCCGCGCCTTCGGATTCCCGCGATACGCCTCCGGCGCGAACGCGTCAAACAGCGCGTCGTACGCCGGGTGCACCGCAATCAGCTGGCCAACGAGGTGCGTCGACAGCTCCGAGATCTCCACGCCGTGCCTGCGCACCGTGGCGTTCAGCGCGTCGCAGTACGCCTGGTCGTCCGCTGCGCGGTGCACGTCGATGAGTCGCGGATCGGCGGGGACCTGCACGGCGCGGAAGCCGAGCGAGGCGGCCCAGCGCGCGAGCCCGTCGAGCGTGTTGTACGGCGGCGTGTCGCGCAGGTACTGCACGAGGTGGATGGATGGGCCTTTGATGGTGGTGAGCTTTGGCATGGTGGGTGGCGGGAGCTCCGGCGGACGCCCGACAGGCTCATAACTGGGATTCCATGCAGGGTGCGTCGTGGGGATCGAAGTCGAAGCAGGGCTTAACTTGGCTTTATAGGTGGAAAGGGTACGTCCTGTCGACTCAAGATTTCTCCTGTAGGACCCGATATATTATTATTTGAGGACTGGCGGCGGACTAGGCTTACGGGGATGCGTCATTGGGACTATAGTCGAAGGAGTGCTTGGCTTACAGGCGAGAAGGGCACACCGTGCGGTCTTTGACTCGAGAATTTATCTTGTACAACCCGAGTTATCATCCTTGGTGGACATATACTAACTCTACCACCGCTTCCCCAGTTCCCTTCCTATCTCGTTCGTAACTGTGCCCACTTCCTCTCCCAATCACTTCTGCTAACAGATACAGGACGCTTACTATTAGGCTCAGGGTGTTCGCATGCACGAACCACGAATTTGGTGGATGCCAAATCGGGCGAGTGCTATACATATCGCTTGCCCTCTCCTTCCACCCAAGGCATGGCCCGAGACTCACCATATGATGAGACAAATTAAGCCGGTCTCTTTCATACGGTAACTGGACGATTTCAACCTTCTACCGGTCGAATTTGACACATTTAGCGAACGAATATACCGGTCGAATTTAGGCCGGTCTCACGCCTCCAGAAGAGCCACACATGTACAAATAGTACGCATTCAGACGCGGCGTTGCCCACCCCCACTTGAAGGCACGCGATCTCGCCTTCCACTCGACGATGGACGTACTGCCAGTAGAGGTGATCGAGTTGATCTTCCTAGCTGCGTGCTGCGATGGCGGGAGGATGGCAGGCTCCATAAGAGCGACTTGCAAGACTTTCCGTGATATCTCAGACGCGTGCAGATTCCGCACCGTCGCCATTGCGAGCGAAAACCAAGCCTTATCCTTCCGCGATGCGTTCCGCCAAGCGTCACCAACGGCGCAAGCCAGTATGCGCCATCTTTTCGTGATGGTACCCGGGGAGAGTCAATCCGGTATCGCTACTGCAGGTTTGTACATTATCTGCCATCGCTGCCACTCTCTGCTTACGAGGCGCCGAGGCGCCTCGTAGAAGAGATTGTTCGATCGGTTGCACAATCTCTCGAAACTCTCACCTGCGTCGTGACTCCAGCCATCAGGGGGCACCTGGGCATCATGCTTCGCCTGGTCTCTACCGTAACCCAATTCCCTCAACTCCGCGCCCTGACACTGCGTTGCGACGACGGCGGGGTCCTCGGCGACGACTTCACCACGCCGGAAGCTGGCATCTTGTTCCCGCGGCTGCAGTACCTACACCTGGCACATCGCGCCATGGCCCCCTTTACAGTTATTCACCGTGCCGTCGATTACCTAAAAACTTGCGCCGGTAGTCACCTCAGGAGGGTCACGATATCTGGCGGGACCTGCATGAAGAGAGGTGATTTGTCGGACTTCCGGGAGATGCTGCTGTTTCCGAAGCGTCAGCTGCCTGGCAACTCCCCACCCTGGTCAGCTTTATGTCCTCTCCAGACATATATTCTCGAGCCGTACTACTTCATCGAGTCCTTCCGTCGAGGATTAACCGACCTTGAGAAGGAGACGAGGGAGAGGGAGGGTGCTATCCGGCTCGTCCTCCTGCCGAGGTGTGCCAGGATACCCTGGCAGAAACGGATGGAGGAGTGGTTGTTGGTCCGAGCGGGTGAGCTAGATCCGCTGCACGAGTGGCCGGAGGACATCCCCTGGACCGGCGTAAATCCCTAACTACGGGAGACTATAAAATAGCAACTTGAAGGCACGACGGAACGCTGGATACAGACGCAAGAGCAGATGGTTCGGGCTTCGTCCGCAACTTCCGTTAACCGTCGGTCACTCTACGACGAAGACGCCCCCGGTCGACGTGGGTGCATGCAAGTGCGAACAATTCGTGGCGAGAACGTGAAAAGACAGCCGCAGGCGTGGACTCGGAAATGTTGCACCTTAGGAGAAGATGGATATGGGTGCCGGTGACCTTGGGAATATGTTACTCGTCGACCCCACGGTATAATCTGGGGTAGAGACATTTTGTAAGTTTTGGCTGTCGAGCTATCAATAGGTGTGGTTACACCCCCCATAAGCATGGTACACTTAGGGCCAGCGTCTATGTCAAGTCTATGTGCGTCATTTGACACGCGGCGCAAGAGCAGCTCTGTGCGTGATTGCCACGTTCGTGAGTAGGTGAATGAATGATCTCCCACATGTAGGCTGAACATTCCAGGAGTATTCTTTCACTCACACTATAGCCTCTTGCTCTGACAATTCCGCGATGTTGAATGATCTCCCTGTCGAGGTTATCCAGCAAGTCTTCGAGACTGCGTGCTGTGACGGCGGACGGACAGCCTGCTCCTTGAGGTCTACTTGCAAGGCCTTCCTTGCTTACACCGCAGCATCAACGGCAAGCAGTCTATTTCTTTCCGCCCTGCCTTACAGCAAGCTTCGGTGGCGGCGCGAGCGAGCACCCGCCATATTTTCCTGGTGGTCGCCGACGACAATGAAACCCATGTCGAAGCTGCTGGTACGTGGGTCCACCTTCGCATGTCTAGTCTACCAATCATTGCGCCGTCGGCAGTAACTATCATCCTGCTCGCATCGTCCGCTCTCGAGACCTTCACCTGCGTCATGCAGACCAAGTCCATGCGGCTGTACACATCCCTGCTAGGAACCCACTTTCCCCGCCTGCGCACCCTCACCTTCTGCTGCCACAACGGGACGAGCGTCTACTGCGATCCCACTTTTCTCCCGGACTGCGGGATAACATTCCCTCAATTACAGTACCTCCACCTGGCATACACCTCTCCCGACCTCTTCGCGTGCACCCACGGCCTCGCATGCGACTTCACAACCCGCGCGGGGCCGCACCTGCAGTGCCTGTGGATATCGGGCGGCGTGCTCCTCGAGCCGTGGACCACTGCGGCATTCAAAAACATGCTCTTCTCACAGACTACTCCGATAACGGACGGCCAGCGTACTTGACCCGCACTGGCGCCGATAAAGACCTACATCCTCGAGCCGTACGACTCCTACCCACACGGCGGGCAGGCCGTCCCGAACGAGCTGCAGGCCATTGCGGATGCGACCCGCGAGAGGGAAGGTGCCGTCAAACTCATCCTGCTCCCCAATAAGCGGAGCTTGGAGTCTCAGAATACGAATGCCGGCAATGGGTGGGATGCTCTTTGGCTTGTGGACAAGGGTGGGACGCCGTGGCTGGAGCAAAACTGGCTTGCTGCTCGGGCGGACGAGCTCGACCCTGTTCGAATGGCGGGAAGATGTACCGGAGGTGCTCCTCACCATCATCTCGCGCTACTCATTCAATTGCCTGCTCTCTGGTTTTTGTGTCAATTAGCAAACTACAAGTTCCGCACAAACTACATTTATATCATTGTGTTCCCACTGATCTTCCAGAACCCACCGTAATCCCACGGTAAGTTTACAGCGCTCCGTTAAGATATCTAGGCAAACTTATCAGTGTCACCGACTCAGGAGCTGACCAAACAGGTACTCCCGGTGAATGTCAAGAGCCGCAGCTACTATTGCACCCCACCAAATGCCGCAGACCCGAGAGGGGAAGGCCACATGCTGATCAATAGGACGCTAATGAACTCTAACAGTCATCGCAAACCACAAAGTCTGCATAAGATAGCAGCGCTGGCCTGGTTCGCGTTCTTCTGTTTCTGACCCCGCGTACGATGGAGACACTCCCGAGAGAGGTCGCCGAGCAGATCCTTGCCCTCGCATGCGCCGATGGAGGGCGGACAGCCTGCTCCATCCGCGCTTCCTCTAGTGCTCTGTGCGCTGCATGCGAAAGTCATAGATTCCATACCGTTCTCTTACCCGGCGAGAAGCAGCTTCGGCGCTTCCAAGCGACGCTCCGTGAAGCCTCTCCCGCAGCACGCGCAGGTGTTCGTCACCTATTTCTGGTATCGCATGCTCAGTACGCCGGGGCCGCAGATACGCACTCCCGCTCTTCCAAACTACATGTACACTAGCACCAACGTGGCGGCTAGACAACGTAATACGTATCGCATCGCGCACTCTCAAGTCGCTCACTCTACTCATCGAATCCCCCTGCCCTGAGCTATACATCTCCCTGCTCAGCACCTCATTTCCCCGTCTGCTCGCGCTGTCCCTGCGCTACCCCAAGAAATTCCAGCCCGTGCGCCCCGTACCCTCGAGTCCGGTGACATTTCCGAGACTGCGCAGCTTGCACGTCGCGTATACGAGCCGGACGAGTCTCCGGCTTGCACAGTACGGGCTATGCGCCTTCTCCGCCAGGGCAGGATGTGACCTGGAGAGGGTGCGCGTGTCGGGCGTGATGCTGACATGGGGCGGGCTGGCGCCGGATATCCTGCATCTGCGCGCGCTCCTGGGCATCGACGCCGCCCAGCGCAACCCGTGCATGTCGACCTTGTCGGGGATCGACACGTACGTCCTCTCAGCGCTACACCCGCCGCACGATGTTATCAGTCCCGAGGAGGAGGTCGTGATTCAGGCAGAGCTGGAAGAACTCGCAAAAGAAGCGAAGGAACGAGGGAACGTCGAGCTCGTGCTTCTTCCGTGCACAGGCGACCCGCTGACCTGGCGCGATCCGAAGACGCTTGCAGAGTGGGAAGAGGACTGGCGGGAGGCTGAGGGCGGTGCGCTGCCGTGGGTCTGGGAGGGCGCCAGGACTTGGAGATGTTGAGACGGCACCGCGTGGGGAGAGAGTAGATGAAAGGTCTGAGGCTCGATACGACATTGAGGCTGACTTGGTAGATGCGCTATGCCAGACTGCAAACGGACACGAGCTTGATATCCGGGACCTTGCTCGCTGTATCGCGGTTCCAGTGTCTCGCGGCCCGCAGAGTCGGACCGCGGACAGAAGCGATAAGGTGCCTCAAAAGGCCATGGAACGCTCAGAAACACTCGCGACCTGGCCGCACGATCGCGAAGGGGAGACGCGCATGAGACGCCTGGCAGACATAAAGCGTGCCATAGAATTCGTCCAGAGTCCGTGAGCCAGAAGACGGGCGCTTGCAGGCCCAGCCGAGAGGATGGCATGTTAGCCTTCCCATGGCCGTTCCTCTTTCCGGGACGTGCAAGAGCACGTTGGTATACTCACCCGTTTATGAGTCCCGAACGAGAGAGCGCATGCATCGACCCGGAAGTGTGAGGTCCTCCGCCTGATAGTGACATCGGGTTTGGCGAATCCTGCTTTGGGTTCGTAGACGGAGAAGGGAGCAATTACGACGAGATCAGTGCAATAGTTCCGTGCTGTACGTATGTCGACGACGGGGCTGCACGATGAGACACTCGGGCAGCGCATGCGCCTAGTAAGACAGCTCCCAAGCGCAAGCCGGAACCAAAGCGCGCAAATATTTAGGGAAAATGAGAGCATACGCGCACAGGTGCGCGACGCCAGCAGTGAGAGCGGAGGAAGCACGTACACGGAGACTCTTGGGAATCCTTATCCACTCTCATCCGCCCTTCGCCTAACGTCCAGCTTGGAGAAAGGAGCCACGTACCGCAGGCGGAAATCGTGGGTCGGAGAATCGAGGGGGGGATCGAGGCACGGGCCGCTGGACGGTGTGCAACACCACGGAACACATAGTGTCCCGTGAGACTTACGCAGCTCTTCTTAGCTGGAACCGAGGGAGGGGACAATAGCGTAGCAGGGAGGTGCCAGATTTGAGCTGTAGGGCCTATATCGGCGGATGGGATTTATACGAGTAGACAGATGTGTTGATGGGGCAGGGACTCGAAGGGAAAAGGAAGGAACCACCCACCTCGTGCTTCAGTATTAGAGCCAAGCCGTTGACTATATCGTGTCCATCTTCCTCCCCGGTGCCCCTCAATATCCTTCGGTAGGCAGATTCGGAGTTGAGATCTAAACGTGAACGTAAACGCGGAAACTTGACTCGTGCTGGACCATCTGGATCCCTCGGACGCAGCTGGAAGACGGTTGAGGCCAAGTGTGTTGAGCATTGCTGTCAAGAGGGCCTCGACGAGCGCGAGCGCGAGCGACGACCATCGACTCTGACTCGGATTGGCAAAACAGAGCATGCCACGAGGGGCGCACATATTGAAGGAAACGAATAGCATACACGCACCCGCGGGCGGCGGTGAGGGACACACACGCTCGCTATACGCACACCAAGAGACTGATCGACATATTATCCGCTCTCATCCGCCCTCCTCATTCTGTCGATCGGCGCGGGGGAGACAAGCCGCTCACTGCCAGAGGGAATCGCGTATCCAGAAAACGCGGGAGAAGGGCAACGCAGCGTTTACACCGGCGCCTGGGGCACGGAGGAATAGGAAGGCTGACAGCTCACGTCGTAGTTTGGCATCAGAGCCGGGCCATTGACTACACCATATCCGTCTCCCCCCCCCC